TTGGGCACCAAGAATCTGTATTGCACCACATAGAGATCAAATAAACATTTGAATTAAGAATCTAAAATTATATACAAGGGGGGCTTTTTCATTTTTGGCCCATCTGCCGAATATAATTACGACGCTAGCCCAAATACACAAAACATATACACTGATTATGTATATTATATGTATATTTATACTTAATATATAAAACATAGCTATTATTTTTTAGGGCGGCCCCTCTTTTTTTTTGTTGTTGCTTTAAAATAAAATGATCAAATGCAGTGAGAAATACAATGTGATTTGCTTTTTTGTTTTGTTTTGTCTTACCGCTGAAACAACTCCAACAGGCAGGGTCTGGTGATGCGGTAGCAAAGTTGCATTCACTATCGGAACCGGGGGAAGAACCTGCAAATGCATGATTAACAAATGACTTAATATTTGCATGCCAAAATGATCATTTGTGAAACAAACCCATATTAGTATTCTTAGCTGCCTCGTTTTTTTGTTTGGAAGACACATTTCTTTAAGACTGTTATTATGTCTTCAACTGGATGACCAAGTGAGGAAACATAGAGAGCAATATTATAGTGTCAATAACATGCAAAACACTAAACAAGTCTACCAGACGATGACAATTAAGTCGACGGATGCAAGTCAGAGTTTACTGAAATGATTTATTCAGTACTTACACTTAAAAAAACTGACTTTACCAACCCCCCACCCCAAGCTCTTTCTCCCTAGTTCCTATCTTCTGTCTCCTCTCCTCATTTTTCATTTGCTGTCTCTGATATTCTTCATACCTAGGTTCTTTCTTTCTATCTGGATCTATAATGTATGCGCAGAATCCTCTAAATATCACAACTTATACCAGGGGGAACTGAAGGATGCAGCTTATGCACAAAAGATCTATCACCATTGAACAAGTCTAAGCACTATCAAAATTCTATATGTAAAAGTAGAAGGAAAATTATAATCAGACAAACAATTGCAGTCAGCAATAAGTCACAAGCTAACCTCCAGGTCAAAGTACACTACACTGTAAATGAAACATACTTACGTCAATACCACCAAAAGGAAACTATAACTTGATGATGATAACCACTAGATAAGCCTAAAAACTACTCATTTAAGCCATTCTCCACTTTCTGTATAGCCAAATACTGGGACTTGCCTAATGCAGAACATATGTTAACCTCTCAATACGACGAAATGCAAAAACTAGTCAGTCAAGCCCTTTGCCACTTTCTTTATAGGCAAAAAAGTCGGACTGATATGCCTAATCCGGAACATATGGGACTGACGAAATGGGTTCAAATGAAACAAAATAGATATTGGGGATTCATTATCCAACCCCAAAATAGATCTGCAGCATGTATCCATGGACTGAGGACTTTGTTTTTGCTTCTTTTTTGTTTCCGGTTTTTCCCCCTTTTTGTTGTTTCTGTAAATATAAACCTCAAAGGGCTGAAGACTATAACCAAGTAAAGAGTGTCTAGAACAGAGTTATTAGCTTAGCGGCTTACAACAACAACAAACCCAGTGTAATCCCACTAGTGGGATCTGGGGAGGGTAGAGTGTACGCAGACCTTACCTCTACCTTAAGAAGGTTTACCCCTATCTTAAGAAGGTAGAGATGCTGTTTCTGGTCAAAAAAATTGTTTAGCCGAGATTCGATAAACCACTTTTTATCACTTAAATGTCCAACATGGTAGATATTGTATAGAAACAGCATAATGCAACATTATAATCCATATGCATATGATGTTAGAGATGTAATCGTTACCGGAAGCTCGTTCTTAGACCTGATGGGTCCTTTAACACCTGAATCCTCCTCCTCATCTTCGCTCCAAGCAACCATCTCATCTATATCTACATCTACATCAGATGTTTGTATCTCACCTTCTTCCAATTCCATCTCCCCTTTGATTCCCCATCCCTTTCTATCCTCTCTTCTTTTTCCTCCCTCATCACTACTCGTGAACTCGGACAACGATGAACAAGATGAACTCTCTATATCAGACTCAGTATCACTATCACCACCTTGTGACACATCACTCGTTCCTGTGTTTTTCTTCTCACTTGTCACATTTTTTTCCTCATCCCTACTAATATTTTCACTCTCCCTAACAATATCACTACCACTACTATTTATACTAACTTTACCCATCTTCTCAATAACACCCATTTTACTCTTTTCAAGATTCAAATAACTCAATTTTTCACAACCCTCTACATCCCCTTCCTTTTCAACTTCAATTTTCCCATAAATCCCATCTATACCCACATCACCATCTCCGTCAACAGCGTCAAAAACTTCAACTTCCTTACAAATTCCACTAAAACCCACCTCATTATCCCTGTCAACAGTGTCAAAAATGTCAGTTTTCTCACAATTTCCACCAATACCCACCTCATTATCCCTTACAACGGCGCCAGAAACTTTGACTTTCTCAGAAATTCCACCAATACCCACCTTATCATTTCTGTCAAAAACTTCAACTTTCTCACAAATCCCACCAATACCCACCTCATTACATCCATTAACAGTGCCAAAAACAGCTTCTTCATTACAAACCTCAAATGGGTCTTGTTTCACATCAGCCATACTATCTACTGTGGGGCTCTCAGCAAGAAAATCCTTTAAGGAATCAAAATCAAGAAACGAATCAGCAAAAGAGCAAGAGAACTCGTCTAGGTCAGGGGTAAATATGTCAAATGGGTCAGTTTCTTGCTTAAGCTCTGAAGAGGTTTGATTCTTGATGTCTTGTTCAAGCTCATTATTACTACCTATTATGGGATCATCATGCAAAAAACCCACCATGTTTAAGGAATATAATTAGGGTTCTTAAAAGAGATTTCATAATAGTTTTAGGGTGAGAAAATGTGGGTTTATATATACGGATATGTAGAGTAACGTACGGATTTTGAACTGAGGCATTGCTCGCGGCAAAAGCCGGTTCTTAAACCCTAGGGTTTAAGGGTTCAGAATATTTTACAAGGCTAAAAGTTTCTTTCTGAAAAATAAAAGAAGAAAAGGCCACAGTATAACCAGAAGGGACTCTGCCTAGGTACATCGGGCTTTGGGCTTATAATCTCTTCAGTCAATAACATAAAAGACGTCTCAAATCCGAGCTTTAATAAAAAAAAAAAAAAGAGAACTTCATTTATAGCCCATCGGGCAAAACAAATTTCATCTGATAGCCCACAAATTGACCCATACAAATTATAGCCTAAAAATAATGATAAGTACTAGCCGGAAACTTCACTGATCGAATTCCCTCGCTGGAAAATTCTAGATCTAAGAAGATCTGGACTTTTACCCGTCACCACAAAACTCAAAATCAAAAAATTAAAAAAGAAATTCCGCTACTACTCTTATTGGTGTCATTGATTCTGCACTTTGAATCGAGAAAAGAAACTCATGCCTGGGTTTGGAACTTTTGTTAATGTTTGTTTGTTACTGAAAAGTGAGATTTGGAATTGTTCCGTTGAATTGAAATACTATTAATTTAGTGATTTGATGAATTGGGCGAAGCGAATTGACGAGTAAAATTCAAAATCCACTTACTTTGAGCTTGTGACTTTTGCATCTGTTGGTGAAATTTGTTTCAATGATTAAATCATTGCTTGGAAAATTGATGTGAACTAATACCGTCGCCAGCCAGTGGTCAATTCCGGCGGTGACTAGTAAAAATCAGTAGCAGCAACCTATAGGGAATAAGAGGAAAGCGAGAGGAGCAGTCATAGTCATAGTTGGCTGGCTGGATTTCGGCAGTGGTGTGGCATAAGGCAACGAGAGAGACAACCTTGTCTTCTTCTCAGATTTTCTCTTATAGTTTCTATGAATATGTAGATAATATTTTGAAGATCTTTGGCAAAAAGTTTAAAACTCCGGCGATCTTGTTACCATTTTTGGCGACTGTGAGGCCATGGATTCTGGTGGTTGGTTTCTCAATGAGAGGAAGAACAGAGGAGATGATTATGCATAAAGTTGAAATATCTACAAAACAGACTGTTATTATACAAAAATTATACAAAATAGACTGTCAATATACAATTTATATACAAATAGACTGTGACTGTACAATTTATATACAAATAGAGTGTCACTATACAAAATATATACAAAAATAGAATGTCATTATACAAAAAATATACTAAATAGACTGTCATTATATAAAATATGCACAAAATAGACTATCACTATATAAAAATATATTAAATAGACTGCCACTATACAATTTATGTATAATTAGCTCTCACTATACAAAATATATACAAAATAGACTGTTACTATACAAAAAATATACAAAATAGATTGTTACTATACAAAAAATATACAAATAGACTGTTACTATACAAAAAATATACAAAATAGACTGTCACTATACAAATAGACTGTTACTATACAAAAAATATACAAAATAGAATGTCACTATGCAAAAAATATACAAAAATAGTCTGTTAATATACAAATAATATACAAAAATAGATTGGTATTATACAAAAAATAGGCTGTTATTACACAAAAAATAGACATTTCGCAACGACGGATCCATCCGGCCCAAGGCGGAAGGCATGGGCGCACACAAAAATTTGGTACTCGCACGGATTTGCCGTTTTATGGCTGTAAAATGCCAAAAAATATGATGTGGTCATTTCGAGTGGGTGGAAATTGTTTCTTATGCCGTATTTGATGTCCGGGACAAATATTAGGCGATTCCACGACGGATCCATCCGGGCCCAAGGCGGAAGGCATGGGCTATAGCACACAAAAATTTGGGACTCGCGCGGATTTGCATTTACATATTTCATTCAATTGTTAGCTAATTCTTATCAGATCCAGAAGTACATTTAAAAGGTAAAAAAAGGTTGCTCTATCGCGCCAGGTGAGGGTCGAACCTGCAACCTTCAGCTTAGGAAACAGGCACCCTAACCACTAAGCTACAAGCGCTTGTGTAGTCATGCTTATTCCTTTCGGCTACTATATGCAATACGTTTGGGCCGAAGGGCCATTTTTGTAAGTAAGACAAAATATGGGCTATTAAAATTTTGAGGGGCTATAGCGGGTAGTTTTCTCATAAAAAAAAGAAAGTAAAATTGTATAGCCGTTTTTTAAAATAATGATAAAAAATATACATNGACTAACGATATAAATAGTTTTGATCGTAGGCTAGGTCCACATAGTTTTCATAGTTTCTTTCCTTTTGTATAAGCTATTTAATAAATGGTTCTCTTTTTATTCTTTTTATTCCTCTTACAACTTGTGAATCTTTCGAACAACGGTCTAGAAATTCTTTTTGAGCAAATTATAAATTGTATGAGAAAATATTAGACTCGAATTTAAAATTGTAATTGCAAATATTAGCCCACAGTTTAATATTTTGTCTATAAGGTTGAGCAAATTAAAAATTATATGAGCAAACATTAGACCCGAGTTTGACGTTGATCGGAAGGGCCTAAGGGGTAATTTTCTCAAGATTATGTTTTCACAACTTTTTGAATAGGGACAAAATCTAAAAATTGCCTAATACATGAACATTTGCGTAAATTAGCCAAAAATTACTGGTAGAAAGCACTTCCTCCTTTAATGGGCCTTACTTAGTGCGAGTTCTAATGAGACAATGCCCAATGAGTTATCGCACACCGGGTATTAAATATAAAAGAAAAACGAAATATGAAGCATGAGATCTCCATCAAATATTTGAAAAACTTTTATTATTGTTATATTTAACGGGATTTATGAAAGAATTAAGGAGTAGTATTTTATTGACGCAATTACGTCATTCATAATGTCTCTTTACAGCTTGTTTGGATGGTTGTTACCCATTGTATCGTATCGTATTGTTACTTTAAATACAATGTTTGTTTTGATTGTTACTTATATTTTATTGTATCGTATCGTTAAATCCGTCGTTACATAACGACGAAATGTGCCACTTTATGTAACGACCGATTTGGTGTGGTCGCATCGTTACCTTGTCTTTTTCTCTCAATCTCACCCTCTATTATTATTAAATTATTTTATCATTTATTCTACATTTTTATATAGTAATTTTACGTTGTATCATAATTTTTCTTTATAATATTGCAAGTGTATTTTTCATATTGCTGGTGCGTGATATCATGAAACGATGACAAACGACACAATGTATTCAAACATTGTATTTATCAAACGATACAGTATAATACAATACAGTACGATACAATACATTATGAAATGATGCGTAACAACCATCCAAACAAGCTGTTAGTTGTTTCTTTTGTTTAAAGTTGATAATATAATACATAGTTTGTATATATGAACATTACTAGTTGAATATATAGTACTAGCATGATTGATTTTTCTGTTGGGAGAACAAACAGAAATCTATAACTTCTCCTTGGCAGCATAATAAAAAATTATTTTTTCAAAATGAAAATATCTTTAACAAAAAACTCATATTTTCTAAAGTATATTCTTTAAATTAACATATATGCCTCTCAACTATAATACAGTTGCATAAGACGTATATATTTCCCAACCTAACCACCATTAACACATACATAATAATTTATTTTAATATATTTAAATCATCATATAACGATTAAGTAATTAGATAAGATGTCTAATATTATTACTTACCTATATTAATATTGATTAAAAATTTAATGTGTTTTGTGATTTTTTATATTTTAAGTAAATTAAATTGAAAAGCTTAATATTAATTTCGTGGTAAGTATTTGAATCATTTTATCTCGTTCGTTTAACTAAATCCTACTCCTAAAGAAACAAGAATTTTAGGAAACAAAAATTCCCAAATCCTATTCCCTATCAAATTCGGTAATACTTCCTTTGTCCTATAAATACAATAGATTATTAACGTATATCATTACACTCCCAAATTTCTTTGTATTCCTTTTCTCAAAACCTAACAAAACTTGTGAGAATTATTTTCCAAGAAATATGTCTCAAGATCACCAACGTCCCTACTACGCTACTCGTACATTACCAATAAATGATGCATTTCACTTGCAAAGAATGAAGCAAGAACAGCCTGATATTGGAATAATATGTAATGATACCAACATGTTTGAATATTGGGAAATAACAACTTACTCTGAGAAGGCGGAGGAATGATTGTCCGTTTTGTAGTGCCCACACACGAAGAAATAGTAGAAGAAGACGAGGAGGAGGAAGAAGAGGAGTTCGAGGTTGAAACAAGAACTTACTATGCTACTGTAATGGATATAGAGGATGAGGAGGAACAAGAAACCTGTGCCATATATATATATATATATGTTTATGTGAGTATGAAGATGAAGATACCATTGGCACACTTCAATGTGGCCATGAGTTTCATGTTGGCTGCAGCAAAAGAATGCATGTCCGTTCTGTAGAGCTCTAGTGTTGCCCACACATGACTGGTTACATTCTTAATCTTGTAATTAAATTCAATGAGAATAGTATTATTGTTACAATATTCTTTTTGTAAATTAGCCAAAAATTTACTATAGAGAGCATTTACTCCTTTAATGGGTCTTATATGGCGCCCGTTCAAATGAGACGGCCCCACTGAATTACCGAACACTGGGTAACACATCAAAAAAAGAAAAAAGAAAATATGAAGCATGAAATCTCCGTCAAATATTTTGGAAAAACTTTAATTGTTATTATATTTGACGGATTTTATGGAAAAAATAAAATAAGGGTTGTATTTTATTGATGCAATTACATCATTCATAATGTCTGTATAGTTGTTTCTTTTGATTAAAGTTGATCATATAATACTTAGTTTGTATGCACATTACTAATAGTTCGTAGGTCAAGTTAATAGAAACTAGATGTACTGTAGTCGCCCTGTCCGCCGGTGATATTGTCCGATTTGGGCCTAGACCTTACGAGTTTAAAATGCGTCACTAGGATCTAAAGCTTGTTAACTTATATACCCATAATCCCTCTTGTGTTTTGCCGATGTGAGAATCTGTCTAAAGTCCGGGGTGTTACATACACCCCCCTTATGGACTCGGCGCCCTCGTTGAGGTTTGCCCTACAGCATGGGGTTTGCGTAGACTAAACATTGAGGTTTGCCCTCCCTCAATTACTTAACTATATTACTCCCTCTGTTTCATATTATATGAGGTAGTTTGACTCGACACGAAGTTTAAGAAAAAAGAAGAAGATTTTTGAAACTTGTGGTCTTAAAAGCTTAAGGGGTAAAAAGTTTGTGGGGCCATGACATTTGTGTGACTATAAAAGCTTCTCATTAAGGGTAAATGAGTAAAATGAAAGAGTTTAAAGTTGCATTATTTCTAAATTTAGAAATGTGTCATTTGTTTTGGAACAGACTAAAAAGGAAAGTACCTCATTTAATATGAAACGGAGGGAGTAATATTCATTAAAATTTTAATGTTTTGTGATTTTTTATATTTTAATTAAATTAAATTGAAAAGTTTAATATTAATCTTTCGTGGTAAATATTTGAATCATTTTGTCTATTTCTTTTAACTAATAAATCCTAGTCCTAGCATGTTGGGGAAAGGAAGCGTGTGGGGAAAGCTAGAAAAAAACAAAAAATTCAGGAAACAAGAATTTTAGGAAACAAAAGTTCCCAAATCCTATTCCCTATCAAATTCGGTAATACTTCCTTTATTTGTCCTATAAATAAAATAGATTAACGTTGTGTATCATTACACTCCCATCTTTCTAAAATTCCTTTGTATTCTTTTCTCAAAACCTAACAAAACTTTTGAGAATTTTCCCCCCAATAAATATGTCTCAAGATCATCACCAACATCCCCACTTCGCTACTCATACATTACCAAATAATGATTTTCACTTGCGAAGAATGAACCAACTACAACAACCTGATATTCCACATGATCAAACAAGTGGAATATCTAATGATAGTACTCCAAACATGTTTGAATATTGGGAAATAACAACTTATTGTGATCTTGATATGGATATAGATGATAGCGAGGAACGAGCTGCTTGTTTCATCTGCTGCTTGGAATTTCAGAATGGAGATACATTAGTCACACTTCCATGTAACGATGTGTTTCATTTAGATTGCTTCAATCAGCGGCTGAGGAGGAGGAGGAATGATTGTCCGTTTTGTAGTACTGAAGTTTTACCCACACACGAAGAAATAATAATAATAGAAGAAGAAGAAGAAGAAGAAGAGGAGGAGGAGGAGGAGTTCGAGGATGAAGAAATAGAAGAGGAAGAAGAGAAGTTCGAGGTTGAAACAAGAACTTATTATGCTTCTGTAATGGATATAGATGACGACGAGGAACAAGAAACATGTGCGATATGTTTATGTGTGTATCAAGGTGAAGATACTATTGGCAAACTTCAATGTGGCCATGAGTTTCATGTTGGCTGCGTCAACAAGTGGCTGCAGCAAAAGAATGCATGTCCGTTTTGTAGAGCTGAAGTTTTGCCCACACATGACTAGTTACATTCTTAATCAAGGGCGAAGGTAGTGTTAGATACGGGTTCGACGAACCTGGTAGCTTTAGCTTTTGCTTAGATTCTGTATTTGTATTAAAAATTTATTAAATATACAGGGGTCATGGCTTCTCTGCAATAGTTTATAACTTCAGACTTGTAGCTTCTCTATACAAATTTTATGAAACATGCTTTACTTTATGATATTTGGTTATGTTTCATATCTGTGTTACATAAAGTAGAAACATTAATTTTTACTAGGTATTTTTCTCTTCTTGCAGTCTTACTCGCAATAAAGAAGATAAGTATATTTAAATTGACAGTTCTGCAATTCGAATTGTGACCTTTTAACAATTAAATTGTTATGTTCAAAACATGTTCTTATTAGAGGCTTTTGGATAAGGTCTTCTGTTTTAAGTTTACACTTATCTACGTATACCTAGGTCTGGTACATGATATCCGATAAATTGGCACATTTGTTAGGTTAAATTTGTAAAGTTATTCAACATTTGAGGGTAATATAGTTTTAAAGATAATTTAAATATAATATATTTTTTTTTATGTAAAAGAATCAAAATCCCACATCTTGATTAATTCAATATTAAATGTACTTCGTGAACTTTTATAAAGACAAAGTTCTTGTTTTACTTTGTCTTGCACAATTTTTTATTAATATATTCCCAAAAAGAATGATACATTCTTATATTTTATTAATGAGAAGCCATATAGATATTATAATATGCTTAAAATAATAAGTTTTAAAAATCTTATAGTCATATACATGTAACAACCCAGCCCTTAATGATATTGTCTGCTTTAGACCTAAGCCTTCACGGGTTTAAAACGCGTCAGGGTTTAGGCCCAGAGCGCACAATATCACTAGCGGGCTGGACTGTTACAGATGGTATCAGAGCCACTCTTGTATTAGCCTTGCCGATGGTGGCCGGCCAGAGTTAAACTGAGTTTAGGAAAATCCCGGCTTTACATAGAGTCTCACATCGACAAAACACAAGAGAATGCTGGGATATAAATTAACAAGCCTAAGATCCTAGTGACGGAAGACTAATGCCTAAAGCGGACAATATCACTAGTGGACTATTACATTACAAATGCTATAGCAATATAGATCATTAATTTTAAAAGTTTTTCTATCTTTCTTAAATTTCAGCAGAGTCAAACTATGACAAACAAACTTATAATTAAGGTCTAATATTTGAAACCGGAATACCATGATTAGTTAATGGAATGAAAAATTATTCTAATGTGGGGCAAGAAAATGACAGATGAAGCTTCTCAGTTATATATGAAGATGACTTGGCGTCAACGCGTAGCTGGCCTTGACTTTCATTATCTGAATGAATTACAGGGCATGTATCTTCATATATATTCACACTCTTTAAACATATTGTCATATTGATATTTTTGCTTCAATAAACTCAGTTTGAATCAAAGTCTTCTCAAATTTGTCACTTCAGGTTAGTAGCTATATATACAATATCTCTCAGTATATTTTCATTCCTGCTGAAAGTTGCATATCCTTTATGTTAAATTCAACTTTAAGTGAAATTGAAATTTCTATATAGCCAAACACTAATTCCGAAAAAAGGTAGATCTTTTTTATGGCCAAATGAAATTCACTCTTACCTCAAATACGGTCCATCTTATGAATGTTGAGTTGATGGGTACTTGCTGTTTGTCAACACGAATATCTGCTACTTTTGCTGTGACCAAAGGCGGATCCAGGGTTTTAACTCAATGGCTTGATCTTTATAATTTTACCATTGAACCCATTGCGCTTATAGAGTTATGAATCTTTTACATATATGTCTATGTTCTGTATTATAATTAATGGGTTCGGTTGAACCCCTAACTTGTTACCTGCATCCGTCACTGGCTGTGGTGAATTCGATCTGAATTGATGTTGGATAGTGATTAAAATTAGTTCTTGAGGAGACAACCATGAAAGTGGAAAGAATTTGGTTTTATATACACTGATGGTGTGAAGAATGTTTATACCATTTGTGTAGTTTGATTAGTTCCAATAGGTTAGCTGCTTCCATTTCTTTTTCTGCATTACCCAACTATACTCAGTATTACCCATCTGCAATTGACTTTTAAGTAACTTTTATTTTCATTTTTAGTGGATAGAAATTAAACTTAACAGGAAATGTTAAACTTGGCAGTCAATTTGATGGTTTTAGTATAGACGGTTACTATCTGGTTTGCAGCTTAAACCTTATTAGTTGTGATTATAGAGTGTCAGAGTCTCACATTAGTTGAGGATTTAAGTTGTAATATCTTTATATATTCTTGAACGATTCTAACCCCGTATGCTAACTTTTGGAGCTGAGGATTGTTCAAGACTGTATAAAGAGAATACAACTCATAGCCTCAACCAATGTGGGGCCTTGACACCTCCGGTGGTTTTAGAGCCAGACCCGTCCTTGATGTTGGGTTATCCATTGTTATAGCTAAATGTTATGTTATCCACACTTCAAATATGTAAATGTGGGCGTGCTGGNACATTGTATTTGTCTTAAGAAATCCATTAAATTTATACAAATTATTAGTTTAGAACCGAATAACTTAAAACGGACTACAATCCTCAACCCATAAACTTCAATTCCCGGCTCCTCCTCTGGTGCTAGACTCGGACTTTAGCTGAGGGTATGAGTCATAGTCTCTTGGTCCTTAACATTCTTAACCTCATAGACTATCTTTTAGACTTGGGTTAGGTTCAATGTCTTTTTCTTAGCAGTCTGCTTACATGAGCCACCTTATAGTTGGTTTTGTGTCTCTTTATCTTTGCCTTCTGTTGGTTTGCAGACATACTGGCCATGGAAATTGTTGGTGCAGTGATAAGCATGATACAATGTTTTTGTGGAGAGACCTGCTCGCATCAATCCATTTCCGAAAAATGTATGTATATGAGAAAGCCTCATGCATTAGCAAATAGAATTGAAGAAAAGATGGAATTGCTTAAAGCTCGGGAGGAGGATGTTAGAAGAAAGTTACAAGTGGAAAAAGTATGGCGCGGAATGGAGCCAAAAGCTGAGGTAAATATGTGGCTTACTAATGTAGGAAAGATCAAAAGTTCTGTAGCTTGCTTGCAAGAAGAAATTACTAAAAACAAGAGTTGTTTAAATGGATGTTGTCCAAATTATACGTCTCGATTGAAGCTGGGGAAACACTTTAATAAGAAAATTAAAGAAGCCGACAGGCTGTTGGCGCAGAGCATATATCCAGATGCTTCATTAGTTGACATGATGCCTCAGAGAGGAAACATATTACCAGCAACTTCATTAGTGGGAGAAACTGCTCAAAGAAGTTTAAAATTAGTGTGGGAGTATTTGAATGATGGACACACTGGGATAATTGGTATTTATGGAATGGGGGGAGTGGGTAAGACATCCATCTTGGTAGCAATTAATAATCGACTTTTGAGAGAGAGCACAGCTTTTGATAATGTCATTTGGGTCACGGCATCCAAGGATTCAAATGTCCAAAAGTTACAAAAGGATATTGCTAGAGCTGTATGTTTATCTTTTGATGAGGAAGACGATGAAATGGCAAGAGCAGCTCAATTACTTGAAGCCTTGATGCGAAGAAGAAGATTTCTTTTAATTATAGATGATTTATGGGAAGCATTTTCGTTGGAGGTTGTAGGAATCCCATCCCCAGGTTATGGGCATGAGTGCAAGTTGATAATAACTACCAGATCTATGATGGTTTGTCGTGGCATGGAAACAATGAGAGACGTTGAAGTTAGTGTGCTTTCTAAGGAAGAAGCATATGACCTCTTTAAACAAAAGGTCGGTGACGAGGTGCTAGCATCTCCAAGATTACAAGCTGTTGCCGAGGATGTCGCGATGGAGTGTGGAGGTCTTCCACTAGCTCTTGTAACAGTTGGTCGGGCTTTAAGAAGAGAAAATGATATGAGGCAATGGGAAAATGCATTAAGCCAGCTGAAAAGTGCAATGGGAAGAATAGAAGGAATGGAGAATCGAGTCTTTACACGTCTGAGATTTAGCTATGAAAGACTGAAGGACAATGTGACTCGGTCATGCTTTCTTTATTGTGCATTGTACCCAGAGGATCATCATATTGAGACTGAAGAACTGATTAAATATTGGATATGGGAAGGCATGTTGGATAATCTCGGGTATGGAGAATCCAAGATGCTGCAGGGAAAGATGATATTAGATGAACTGAAAAACGCGTGTCTGTTAGAGATCGGCTGTCAAGAAGGTAGTTTGAATGAATTTGTCAAAATGCATGACCTCATTAGGGATATGGCAATAGCTGTTACAAGAGTGAATCCACTGTTTATGATCCGAGCAGGAAGTGGAATTCGTGTCCCACCAGTTGAGAATGAATGGCTTGTAGGCCTTGAAAGAATCTCCTTAATGAGAAATGATTTGAGCACTTTGAGTTTTGAACCGAGATGCCCTCAGCTAACTACCTTGCTCTTGCAGTATAATTCATTGTCCAAGGGCATACTTCCTTCTTTCTTTAACCATCTAGGAAGTCTCAAAGTTCTGGACTTATCTTACACAGGCATCGCTAGGTTACCCGAGTCACTTTCGAATCTGGAAAACCTCCATGCTCTGCTACTACGCAGTTGTTGGAACTTGCGTTACGTGCCAACAATGGAAAGGCTCAAGGAGCTGAGGGTTTTGGATCTCTCTTCTACATCAATCGAGTGTACGCCACAGGGAATGGAAATGTTACTCAATCTGAAGCATCTGGATCTCTCCTACACTACTGTTGATGGATTTGATATTCGAATTTTAGGAACATTCAGGTTTTTGGAAGACCTCTTAACGATTGGTTTATGGCAACCTCTAATGTTCGGTTTGGATTTTGTTAATGTCGTGGCAAGCTGCACCAACTTGGCAAACCTTGAAGCCAATTTCAGCACTTTGCACGACTTCAATCGTTATGTCTTGTCAGGTCACTGGAGCATGCTTGAGAGTTTCAAATTTTGTTTAGGCTATCCTCAATCTTCTAAATTACCTGGAAAAAATAGTGTAGGATTTTTCGGGATTCACATCGTTGAAATGGAAGCCCCTTCTTGGTTGCCAACGATACTTGAATTGGCCGTTCATGAATGCTCTGGTATCACTCACTTACCAATGTTTATTATGAACGCCTCTTCCCACCTAAAACATTGCAAAATAAAGTATTGCGACGAGATGGAATGGATTATAACTTCCGAGTGGGGCACATTTCCCGAATTAGAGTTGCTAGAGATCGAGGGTCTGAGCAGACTGCAAAATATATGCAAGGGGATTCCACCAGCGGGCACTCTTTCAACACTTAAAGTGTTGAATGTTACTGCCTGTGATAATCTCACTACTCTGCTGCCACTTGAGTTAGTGCAGCAACTCAACAACCTTGAAGAGATTGAATTGCGAAGCTGTCTAATGCTGGAGGAGATTGTTACAGAAGCAGAAAGTGAAGAGGTCATTCAAGAGAACGACAATGAAGTGGTCCTCCCAAGTTTGCAAAAATTAAGATTAGTTTCTATACCAAGACTGAGAAGCATATGCAGAGGTCCGATGATTTGTGATTCCTTAACGACTATTGAAGTCATAGATTGTCCGGAGCTGGAAATAATTCCCTTCTTTCTGGAAATAAGGCAGCAACTAGCTGACTCTCTCAAACAGATAAAAGGAAGCAGAAGGTGGTGGTGGACATTAGAGCGGAACCACCCTATTGCCACGTCTCTCCTTGCTCCACTCTTTAAACCTGAATCTGCTCCTAATGAAGACATTAGGGTTGATTCCAACACCATAAACAGTTATGGTGGCAGCTCGGGGAGTTCTTCTTTTGGGCCGCGATAATATTCTTACTGTAAGTAATAAGCTTGCACTCTCTTAAAGACTCTCTCAGGGATTTTGAACTGTTATTTAATCAGAATTGATTTGAAGTCAAAAGTTTTTAATTTTGTGAATCATGTTTCTTATTCAACACAATAGGAGAACGGATATAGAGCGTTGACTGAGTAGGCAAATATCTGAATAGGAGAACGGATATGGCTATTTCTGGCAGGAAACCTCAAGAACCATTTAATATTGTAATAGATGCACTTATGCGTTGTTTTGGTTACAGTTTTATTGTCCTGGATTATCTCCCTATTACAGTCACGCTACAAGCTCTGGTAGTTCTTCTTTCGGGCCACAATAACTTTCTCATGGTAAGAAACAAGCTTACACTCTCTTAAAGACTCTTTAGGGATTTCAAATTGTTATATGATCAACATTGATTTGAAGTCACAAGTACTGAATATTTTTGAATCAATTTTTTTTGTTCACCTCTAAGATAGTGGACATATTGTGTTGAGTGAGTAGGCCAATTATCTGAAAAATTGTGTTATGCCTAATGGCTAATCCTGGCAGGAACTTTAGAAAAAACAAAAAAAAGGGATTGTAATGGAACGACTTATGCCTTGTTTACTTTGCAGTTTATCCCGACTTGTTTCCTACTAAGCTATTATGCGTTTCTTTCTTCTATTTTATTAAATAAAGAACAGTGCTGTCGCCTATATCATATCAAACTTTTGTCGTCGTGTTTAATATTTTGGTTGTTTTTGAGTCCTCGTAACGAAAATGAAGAGGGGATTATTAGGTGAGTTTTTCTTATTGTCATAGAAACCCATGATTTCAAGAAGTGATTTTTCATTATTTTAGCTGCATGCACATTTTTAGTGATGAATCAGTCCAAATTAGCAGAGATTATTTTTATGCATCTTTCAATTATCATTTCAGGAGAAAATTCAGTAAAATACCCTTTTTCTAAGTCCAGACCTTGCCAGTGTCTCAACATGGTTCTGGACACGATCAGCTCCAGTTTGGTTTGGCTCCAGCAGGTGCAGTCTATCTCGGCTGATTCCTCTCCATGAAACAGGCCTAGAGTTTGCACAATCAGTAGGTCTTCGCCTCAGGCGCTCACCTTCTGTACAATCTGTCGTGCAGCTGAGAGATCCGTAGACACGATTGGAATGTTGTATATAGCTACTCATAGACAAGCTCCCATCATCACTCTTTCTCTGGCTTGAGACACCTTTTCTGGACCTTCATCAGATTTCAGGGGAACGTGGTTGGGTCGACCCCATCCTTCCCACTGGATGCCCCTGAAATTGGGCCGGTCATAGCCCACATCCCGCCTGATGGTGCCCAGACCTTTCCCATTCGGGTGATCAGCAGCAGCATACAGATAAAGGATACTGTTTTCATTTGCACTGTTAATGTAAATGTTCTGATCATTTGTTAAAGTCAAGGCCATTTCAAGTAGCAAAATCTGCAACTTCTTTAGCGAGTCAGCAGCTTCATCAAGTGAAGGCCTTTCCAGCGGATGAATGACAATGCATCCACAACACCAGGACGAGGATGAGCACTCGAGTGCTGCTCTCAAGGTTTATGCCTTCATAGGCTGCAGCAGCCATGGCTAGCACGTACAGTTTGGTGCGAAGGGCTATAAAATGAAACAACTTGTGTTATCATGAGCAACATCTATGATGCAATTGTGTAGTTAACTCTGTTGTAATCGCGAGCTTGAAATATGTTCACGATGACAGTTTCTGCATCGATCTTGGCAGCACTTTCAATGGATTCAAGAGCTTGTTTAATTTGTCGCATGATTTAGATATGTAGACTTTGCAACATATAGCAACAATTGTATTACAGTTTTCTTCTTGTCCTTGCACAGTCGAAATAGAGCCGTCAAAATGGGCTTGGCCCGTGAGGCCAGTCCAACCCAACCCGCTACTTGGGTAGGGTTGGGCTAGGATTTTTTGAGCCCATTTAAAACCGAGGCTTATAGGCCCGCCCAAGTCAACCCACTAGCCCTTGAGGCTTGACCGAGGTTGGGCCTGGGCCGGCCCGTGGGCCAAAAATTAATTAAATTCAAATTAATTAACTATTAAATATTTAAAAAAAGTAAAAACTAAGAATACCATTAACTATAATCCTAATTCCCCAACCCTAGATTGCTCATTTACCCTTCCATATCAATTAGAATTTAGATTTTTGACATGCATATAATATGACAAAATTACAATTTCTTTTGCTTAATTAATAACGAACTCGAAAAGTTTTAGGTGGCCAATAATAATCTTTTTTCAAAAGAAAATATTACTTTAAGTGGCCAATGATCAGTTTGGATTACTTTAATATATTATTAATATTTAAACTGCTCTTTATTATAGAAAAAGATCAATTTTAAACACAAAAAAAAGAGAGCTAGAGATAGATGAAAGAAAAGTGTTAAGAAAATATTCATGTAACATTAAAAAAGAAGAGCTAGAGATATAGATAATTTGCATTTCAATTATGAGATTCCTCGTCAAATATCAAGTTTTTTGTTTGCCCTAACCAAACAGAAGTTGTTTACATGATTAATCGACTACGTCACAAAAAAATATTTAAGGATTTAAGAATTTTTTTTTTCTAAAAAAAATTGAAGGGTCGGCCCGCCCTAGCCCACGGCCCTCTTAGGGCTGGGTTGGGCTGGCCATTTTAAGGCCTATTCATATGGCGGCCCGGCTCGTCCTAACCCACCAAATTTAAAAGCCCACGAGGCTTGGGCTGGGCTGGTCCATTTTGACAGTTATAGTCGAAAGACGAAGATTCTAACATCAATTAAAGGTGATGTTGAGCTTTATACATATTTGAGATACAACTTTTTTATATGCCATTTTGCACAATAACATGCAAAATGGTAGGCCAATTTAAAGTCTAATTACCGTATCGTATCGACCGACAAACACCCCTAATTACAGAGATACTTAGTAGCATTTCGACATAAATTTGGTTGAAACTTGAAAAAAGAATTTTGAAAATAAATTTTGGAAGTTGAAGTTGTATTTGAACATGTATTTTATTTGAGTGGAAAAAGAATTTTCTCCAAAAACTACGCTAAACTAGATTTTGAGAAGTTGAAAAAAAAAATCAATTTTTTTTTTTCAAAAACTGATCAAATTACATGACAAACAATATTTTCAAAAAATAAAAAATTGGAACTTTTTTGCTAAAATCTTTAACAAAACGGGAGCTTAATAGTTACTAACATCTAAAAATTCAATTGACAAATATACATCATAATTGCATGTATAGATACCCTTGGTTTATTTCTAACTTATGAGTCTTTTCATCTGTAAATTTAACACAATAATATTAGTTGATTGTATATATACAAGTGAAACTAATATGTATCACTCTGCTATTACTTACAATTAGAATAACCTCTAAATATAAAATTGTATGCGTCCACCGAAAGTTGGTAACCTTCGTCGCCGGCAGCATTTGGTACTCTCTTGATAACTTCAATAGTTCACTAAGTTTTATCAATTTCGTGATACATTAATCCAGGTATTTATTTATAAAGAAATATTAACATTAATACCTAATGACGCCAACAGCAAAAGAATGCTCAAACGCCAACAGCAAAAGGAAGCTCCTCCTACTGACCCCTTTTTAATCCCTTCTCCCCCGTCTTCTTAATCAACTTTCAACATAATTAAGAGAGCTAATGACTAATATAATTAGCCATACTGTGGAACAAGCTGCATGCTTCTCCTTCCATTCTTCTACACATGTAACGAATTAGTATTAACAAATAAGATCAATGCTTCTAATCTCTTAACTTTAAGCTATTTATAAAGAAATGAAGCTTCAGAATGCTTCTAATCCCTTATCATTGACTGTGGCTCTTTCATGGGTTTAAATCGAACAAATACTAAATTTCAGGATGCTTTTGTTAATATATTAGCGATAAAAGTAGAATAGAGAAGCACAAATCTATTAAATTATTCAAAAGCAATGGCTTAAGACCAGTGGTGGATCAATCTAATACAATCAAACTTCTCTATAACAGTATCGTTGATCACACCCAACTCTGGTCCTAAAAAGATAAGCGGTCGCTGCAAATATAATCTAGTTTAAAGGTCTGGAGTTTAATCCCATAGAGAACTAAGTTTTCTCTACAACCGTTCAATATCACTAAGAAGACAAGCTCGAACTATTCCTAAGTTATAAATATTAAGATTCTTATGTCTAACTAATTAACTAACACATTAAATAAGTAGATTAACAACTAGGGATACTAAGGGTTGGAGACAAGATTGGAAAAGCCTAGAGTTATAATTTCCTCAATTGTCGGAATCCTTCTTGCCGTGTCTCCTATAATATCGCCTAAGTATTCTCTACTAATCGTGAACACTTCAGGTGTTGTAATTCTCTCTCGAGCAACTACCACAATTTACTAGACATATTCTCTCGAACTACGCTAGCTAGCACTAGTTCACCGCTCAATAAGATCACACCAAGGTTTCGTTATCTCTAATCCCATCTTTAAAACCTCCATATTTATTTCTCACATACTTTAGGAGTGATGTTGTTCAACGACTACCTAAATATGTACCATTTCTCAAGCAATACACACTAAATAGGCACAGTCAATCGATGACCATTCAATCAACTGAAATAAGCATGTAGTTAAACAAGTTGAGAAATCCAAAGGCTAGATCATATTAAACGTAATTAAAAGTCATCCTCCAAGAGGTTTCATCAAATCCTAAATGAGAAAGTTTAGCTACTCATAACCATAGTAACAATCATGATAATAATTGAAAGCATTAAAATATGGATTAAGGAAGAACAGAGAAAAAGGCTCTCGTGATCCGCTCTCCAGAGTGTTCTGTCGCCTTTTGCCTCTCCAATAGTGTCTTCCCCTTCAAAAACTAACTTTAAGAGGTATTTATAGGGTTGGGGCCGAAGTTTATATGTCCAAAAATACTGAGGAAATAAAATTGGCTCGGATAGCATCATCGGCGCGAGGCACTGTCAGGGGCACCAAATTTCTGCGCGAGGCACTGTCAGGGGCACCAATGTTTCTGCGCGAGGCACTATCAGGGGCGCCAATGATAGTGTCCTGGACAATGCCTTGCACTGTCTATGGCTATGACTTTCATTGCCTTGTACATCTTCTTTTATAGCTCCATTTTGTAGCTTTGAGGTACCATTTCGTGCAACTTTTCTCCAATTCATGTCCAAGCATTCCTACATATGAAATAAGCTCTATTAAGCTCAGTTGTTGCACAAATTAGCATCCAAATAACAAGCAAATCGGGTAAATAATGCCAAAATATATGAAATTATAGCACGACATCAACACTCCACACATAAATGTTGCTCACCCTCGAGTCAATCAACCGAACAGTTCCTCTTCAAGGACCCAAAAAACCACACATTCACAACACACTACACCTATGACCATAGAGTATAGCAACAATTAAGCTCTAGCATATGCGGTTAAAATACACTTCCCATACTTATGCCCAATTTCAAAACATCCAATCCATGAACAATATGATTATGACAATCCTAGCCTCGAAAACTAACTCAATGTCACAATGCACCCGAGGTTTGAATACTTAATCTAACAGAAAGGTCTAATAACGTTACATATCCTTTGTAAAACCATGTGCCCTCACAATAAAACAAAAGTAAGCGGTCCACACATCCAACTCCCATGATCGAATATAATTTAAGGACTCAACGTATGAAGAAAAAACACTCAGGCTCTTAAAGAAGTCACATGCACGCAAAAGATAATATAGGCTTGCCCATTATGTAAACCTCTACTAATATAGGCCTGCTCGGTCCGAAATCAACTATGACTTTATTATGGTTGTAATGTAGGCTAAGGAACGAGTATGATATATTTAGGATATAATGGCTAACCCTCCTAAGCACTTTAACACATCACATGTTCAACTTTAAGCGCAACATTCCTTCAATCCAAAGATAGCTCACCCCAGATTATTTTCCTTCTTCTTTATGCACTACTTCATATCACATCCACTAGAAAAAATAAGAAACCTTTATTTGTTCATTTATTCTCCTTTTTTTCCTTTTTCTTTTTCTTCTTTTTTTTTTGGTATTTTTGGCTTGCCGTAATGGATTTTAATTTTATAGCACAAATGCACATTTCTTCCTTCTATTGGTTCCACTCAAAAGGTACCTCAAATTTCCTCATTACTTCTTTCTAGTGCTCTCTTTACAATTCAAGTGCTTTAAGAGGTCTAAGGACCAAAATGATTCAATTAAGAATAAACGGGGATAAGCTTATTATGAGGGTACCAAAAGAAAGACTTATAGGTTCAAAAGGGTAACTAGGGATGATTTTATTTGTGATAGACAACAAAACTCAAAAAGATCAAAGAAAGCCTAACATCATTTTTCAAACCGAGCAACACCTAGGATTTCGATTCAATTCACATTCCAGGCAAGTTCTAGACTCAAATGCAATAACATGGACTATGCAAAGAACTCACTTCACACAAGACACATGACTCCCTAAGGACGATTTCATTCGGACTCTCAATCAAATAAGTATTCACAAAGCTAAAAGATATATTAAACATAAAGTGAACACAAGTTTAGCAACCGAGGCATAGGAGTTATACCACACGCTATTCAGTTTTACCAAGACATCATCATATATTTAAAGCTGAGGGAAAGTGGAACACATGCCAGAACCTAAGTATGCAACCATCAAATAAGTCAAAAGCTGTGAATCACATCATTTTTTTTCTTTATTTCCCAAGTACTACTCTACTCTAAGGAAAAAAAATACTATTACCTCGTTCAAGTTACATCCCATGG